TGTAAAAACCAAAACAAGATCTGATTCCCAAGAGAAGCTGTTTGTACTTTATAATTAATTCTTATTGTAAAAGTTTTAATATTCTAATTTTATCTGAACCCTTAGACTGTTTATACAGTAACTTCCTAAGATTAAAATCTTATTTAGCTTTTTGCTGCTTATTTCAGATTCTTAAGCTTATAGTTAAAGTTTCTTTCGTTCAAGATTAAAGGCAGACTCACCTGGCATTTTCAAACTTGTCATTCTGAAGATGTCTAATAGCTTTTAAGTAGTTAATGAGCAATATCTGAAAGTGATTAGAAAGTGAGGTTTCCAAACTTAGTGTCCTTTAAAAGTCTCTGCCACAGTTGCGAACAAGATGGCTAATCCCGTCATCTCCCAGCGCTCAACGGAAAACCACTGTCCTGCAGTCTCTTTGTGAGGAGTAGCCATCTGGAGCACACATGGGTGATCTCCTGTTCTCTCCTTATCCGGAGAGGTTCCAAGGAACCGGTCTACTCACAGGTTCCTTGGTCTTTGCTGCAGTCATCGCCATACCTCCCCAGAAGCCCTATACTATGTAATTCTATGCAGTAGCTTTGCGGGTTTAAATTTAAATACTTCTCAGGTAGCTTTAAGTCCAAAAGTCCTCATAAAGTGACTCAGAGCCCAAAGACCTAGAATAAAAGCAATAAACATGCAAGCTCCACAGCAATAATAAAGTTAAGCACAGTTCCAGAGCAAGAAAACTGTTCAGGGACAACCTTAAGGGCTTAGGCCAAGGATGTGCAGACTCCTGAACCTGGTTTGTCATCCCTTTGGGATTATGCCACCAACATTTTATAGCAAACTTGTCAAAAAAATGTCAGTTGGCATTTAAAGGAAATTAGATATTCTCAGCCTTTGTATTAAAAACAGACAAAAAACCTGAAAAGGTAGGCGAAATTCATGCTACATCCTAGTGGGATGTCATGCTAATATTTGTGTGCCATTTGGGGCATATTTATTAGAAAAGCACCCATGGAGAAGGAGAAATAACTAAAAAAGAAAGGATCTCATCGGATATGTCCCTAAGTCCACGTTTGCTGAAATAAGGGATCCAAGCAAGGGAAAATTAAAAAGCAAAAAGTGGCCCTGCCTCAGGTGCCCGGGGTCCTTGGCTTTGGAAATGCAGTCTGAAAAGGGCAGTCGGGAATGCCCAGAGCTGCCCCCAAGAACGGTCGCTTTCTTCCCTGGCAGCGCATTGAATCGGCTGGGCTCCGCTGGGGCCTTCGCTATTTTGGCCGTAGCTTGGACGGGCAGATTGACGTGGATGGGGACGGCCTGGTGGATCTCGCTGTGGGGGCTCAGGATGCTGCAGTGGTCTTAAGGTGAGGACCCTGGAAAGAGCAGTGGAAGGTGAACCCCACTCAGAGGGGCTGGTGAGTAACGGGAGTGCTGGTGCTGTGCACACCCTTGCTTTGGTGGAAAGGAAGGGCATGGGAAGACAACCTTGCCTTTCAACAAGACATTGTTTAGAACTCCGTAAGCCACCCATGAAAGCAGAGGTCAGCCATGCTTTAGGCCCAGAGACCACTCCCACCTCCAAATCTCTTGAAATCACCAAGGATTTTATAAGCGCGTCAGTCTTGCAAGCGCATCAAAACTTTGCCAGATTTGGCAATCTCACAGGATTTCTCCAGTCCCTTTAGGCACAATGTTAAGGGTGTTTCTTATTTATTAAAATATTAGTAAATATTTTACTAGAGCTCTAGAGCTCAACAGAAAGATGAGGGGGCAAAAATAAAGTCTTCCTAGAATCAAGGTTGTAACTTCCTTGGCGGCAATACCAAAGCAGTTTGCTCCCGCCCTTTTCCTGGAATGTCCTTGGACTTTGCAGTCTACTCAACAGCCCTGGGGTTTCCTCATGATCCCCCATCAGCCAGGTCTGTCCCTGTTTAGCTTCCGAGCCCAAACAAGGTCAGAGGGAAGGAAAAAATCAGGTAACATATGCAGGAATGGAATTATTTTGAATCTCATGTTCCTGAAATTTTGAAATTCCACCCGTCACCTTGAACTCTGACTGAAAATGTAACAGTGCGCTTCCTGTGGTATAAAACTAGTGAAACGGATTATTTAAATATGCTATTCTTGATGGCAATCCATCTCTTTCATTCTGCCCAAGCAGCATCTAATATTTCCAAGGACAGCCCTATAGAGAGCATATGGCAGTAATCTTGCGTAGATTGTGCACAATTACGGTGCTTAGACTGGGGGCTGGTATGTCGTTTGTTGTTACAATTATATTTGTTGGTGATGAATCAGATCCAGGAGGATTGTGCAGATCAATGCATCCATCTCAGTCAACCCTCCCTCCATCAACGTGATCCAGAAAAACTGTCAGAGAAGCGGGAAGGAATCTCTCTGTGTGACGGCCAGCTTCTGTTTCAGCGTGTCCTCACGCTCTCTGAGTCCCCGGGACAGCCACTTGAGTAAGTGCCTCCCAAACCAGAAGTCAGAAGGCTTCAGTTACTGGTCACTTAACTCACCACACAACTTGGGGCACCTGGCCCAAGAGAGTGGTGGACAAGAACTGCAGAAAATCTGCCTCTGCTTTCTAGCAGGGTTTCAATGGTGCAGTTTCTGGACAGGCTGCAAAAGGACTTAAGCAGCTATGTCTGGCCCACAGGGAGCCCATTCGGCCTAAACAGACTCTCCTTTTCGCTCGATCCTAGGTATAAAATACAATGTCTCTCTGGATGACAGAAAGTTTGGCACAAGAGCAGTCTTTGACAGCAGCTCCCAAAAGCTGCTGCAGAAGAGGACACGGGTCGCCATGGGCAGGACAGCGTGCTCCACTGCCCGTTTCCACGTCATTGTGAGTGTGACACAGGTTCCTCTCTGAATCTTTGGCCCGTGGGACTTAGCTGGTTCAAACTCCCAGTTGGTTGCCTGGAGAGGGCTGTGCAGAGTCCACACAGGGTGTGTCCTCTGTGGCCATCTTTCTGCAGAACGGTTCCTTCCTTCCACATGAATGGAGTCCTTCCTTGGGTGAAGAACCCTAACCGTAGAATCACGGAACTGGGAGGAATCTTGCAGGTCACCTAGTCCAACTCCCTGCTCAGTGCAGGTTCCACTAGAGCAGTGCTTCTCAACCTTGGCCACTTTAAGATGGGTGGACTCCAACTGCCAGAATTCCCCAGCCAGCATGCTGGGATCTGTGGTTGGGAGTGTG